TGGTCCTTTTTTGGCTGCCCTAGAAAGGGCTGACCTGTCACCAAGGATGCTCCTGCTTGTTCCTATATCTTTACCCATATCCTTCTCTCCCATCATCCATGACCCCACACAGCCACAGAATGCTCCATCCCTGGACCTTCCTGTCTTAGTTACTTTTCTTTTGCTGTGAAGAGACACCATGACTAAGGGAACTTACAAAAGAAAGCATTTAATTTGGAGTTTGCTTACAATTTCAGAGGGTTAGTCCATGACATGGTGGGATGCACAGTGACAGGCAGGCTGGGAGCTGGAGCAGTGACTGAGAGCTCACATCTGATCTGAAGGTTGTAGACAGAGAGTATGCTAGACTGGGCCTGGTGTGAACTTTTGAAACCTCATAGCCCACCCCAGTGACACACCTCCTCCAACAAGTCCACACCTCCTAATCCTTCTCAAACAGTTCCACCAGCTACAGCCCCAGCATTCAAATACATGAGCTGTGGGAACCATTCTGACTGAAACCCCAACACCAACCTTTCAGCAGGCCATTTTTGTTTACTGCTACTTTGGCCTCAGGAAATTGAGGCTGAGAACAGGGTTCAGATTCTTACAATGCCCTTTTGTCCTGAACACTCCACAGCAACTCCATCTTCAATAAACGGGGCCATAAAGTTTTCTTGGTGTATGGCCCCAGCTTCTACAGTGCTACTTTATACAGATTTTAGCTGCAGTGCAACAGGGGACATAGAGGGTTGGGGAGATGAAGCGCCCCTGCCTGGAGCCCTCAGAGGCCCCATGCAGTATGTAGGTGAAGAAACGGGGACTATCCAAGTGAGGTTTCCTTAGGATGAAGCACACAGTCAACCCTGCCATGCCAAAGTCCACCAGCCTCTCCATCTTTATTTTATCTAGCAGGCACCTATGTGGGACTCGCCACATATCAACATAACCCAAATGTATAAAAAAAACTAGCTCACTCAACCCCTTAACATATCCTATGAGTCAAGTCCCACCTTACAAATGAGGAACTAAGGTACAGAGATATCACAGAGCTAACAGGCAGAGTCAGGGTTCCAGATTGGGCCATGTGGCTCCAGAATCTGTGGTCTAACTGCTCCATTATTCAGCCTTAGTTTCCACATATTCCTCAGTCCAGTTCTACAAATGGATGGACTTTCACTCACAGTGTTTACATCTCTATGACCAGTGTCCACTGATTATCTCGAATGATCCGCATAACTTTAGGTACTGCATGCTACTTGCTTTAGTTGCTGTGACAAAAAAACCTTAAAAATCAATGTAAGAAAGGAAGGGTTTGTTTTGGCTCATCTTAGGAGGACTCAGTTCATCAAGGCAGGGAAGTCATGGAAGCAGGGTCCTGGGGACAGCTGGTCACACTGCAGTGACAGTCTGGACAAAGAGTGATGATGGATGGTCTTTGCCTGCTTCCTTCACTTTATTCAAACTATCACCCCAGCTTATAGGATGACCCTGCCCACATAGGTGGGGCTTCTCGATTCAATTACTCCAATGGAGAAATCCCTCACAGACATGCCTAGGGACTTGCTTCCAAGTGATTCTAGAGCTAGTCATCTTGACCATCAATATTAACCATTACAGATACCCAACTCTCATGCTCTCCCCATGGTGATGCTTTAACCTAGCCAGCTGTCCTTGTGTTCACAGTCCTTGTGTTCCCAGAGAACTTGACACACAGGTCCATGCAGATAGTCCTGGACCAAAGGGCTCATCCTAGAGGGTGTCCCAGCCTGGGTGTCCAACTGGGGGCGGGGGCAGAAATCATGTTCCATCCTTAGAAGCTCAGAATCGGGTGGAGAAATTGACTCACCACCAGCCCTGATCCATGGGCATACATTAGAGAGGGGCAAGAGCCTTCACAGAGACAGGCCCCAGAGTAAGACATGGTGCTGTCCACTGAAAGAACTGGGAAAGTTTCTTGGAGAAGCCAGCCTGTATACTAAGTTTTAAGGATGGGACATTCATTCCCTGGTGGAAAGGGACACATGCAGGGACTTTGGGTTGGTGGAGCCAGAGACCAAGGTGGGAAAGCATCAAGAATCTGCATGTGGGGTGAGCTCTGTTGAGCCCACTAACCCCACTAAAGAGTGAGCTACATGAGGGTAAGGTCACCACTGCCTGCTGAGCCTCAGTGTCTCCTGCCACCACTGAGCCCTGTGCCCACTCATCACACACAAAGGTTATCTAGCAGAGAAGCTTTATATGACAAGGTGGCCTAGTTAGAAAAAGAATGCAGAGTGGTTGATAACTGTCAGCCTGTAATCGAGTGCCCATCTGGGATGAGGACATGGAGTACCCATCGCATGTACACTGCAAAGCTTCTGCAAATCTCTCCAGCTAAAGGCACAAGGTTCTCAGGAGTGGCAGGGCTCACAGAAGGCTACTGTTTCCTGTCAGCCTCCAGGCATGGGTTCCAAGCCAGTCCATACATTGACATCCTCCCAGACAATCCACTACCAATCATACCACTGTCACACTGTGGCCTCCCTAGCCACAAAAGGCCAGATTGCCCCAGATCAGAAGACTTCTCCTCCAGAGGGGCAGCCAGGGGGCAAATGTGGGTGTTTGAGACCTGAGTGCTGGTCACCGCTCAGTGACCTTGAGATGGCCCCAGGAGTCACCCGATGGAGCTGTGTTCTGAAAAGCTTTTTTCTTTTTGACATTCTGTTCATCTGACCCCCAGAGCAGGCTGTCCCCCAACAGGGGCAGCCAGACAGCCTCTACTCTGAGAACCTCATTCATTCATCTCTTTATGCAGAGGTCTCTCAAGGGCCACCAGGCATTAGTGGCGCCATGGTGGGCGGGACATACATACACAGAGTAGCTCCCAACCATGAAGGGTGGGGGGAAACGAGGCAATGGACATGCCTAAAGAATCTTCCAGGCAAGTGAACCAGACCAAAGGCTGCCTCGGAGTTCAAGAAGGCATCTCAGAGAGGGTGACATTTGTTAGTCAATTATTGGGTGCCAGCCTAGGCTCTGAGACACAGTAGTAAAGAAAACTAGTGAGGGAGAAGGGATCTGGAATTCAATCTTGTTTGTATTTCAAATTAAAAACAAAGGCAAAAAAAAGAAAAAAGAAAACTAGTGAGCACTGGGTCTCAAACTCTCACCTTCAGTCCCATAGGAAGCAGGGATAAACTCAAGGTGGGGTACATGACAGCGCAGGAGGGCCATAAGAGCAGCCTCTGGGAGGAGCTGTGTGGAGACAATACCCTTCACTTATTCTTTAATCTGAGAGAGGTGTGATGTAGAGGCAGAGAAAAGAGGTGGAAAGACAAGGCTGGGTGGCACAGGTCAAAACAGGGGGCTACGATAACAGGATAGGAGCTCAGGACTTGATGGTATTGCCAACTCAAAGCTGAAGAAAGTTCCTGGCAAAAAGGGAAGGTATACAGGATCTTAGCACTATTACCAAGTTCAATCAGGAATCTTTAGTCTTCGGGCAGGCCCTGTGCCACTCATCTCCTGGGATATGTGTTTTAAAGACATTTGTTTTCTACAGAACTCCATCATGTCAACAGTGGACTGAAAACTTCTCATGGCTTTCCTTTCACTCCAGGCTCTCATCTGGCTGGGCCCTGGGCTCAGGAGGAGCCAAAGAAACATTTGGTCCTTTGGCTAAGTCTGAAACTCATTCCCCAGGAGCACATGTTCCTATTAACCTTGCTATCTCCTTTTGACCTCGGCATGCCTGTCACCTGCTCAGGGAAGCCTCTGCTAACCAAATTCAAGGAAGAAATCCCCAAAGATGTCCCTTCTGCAGGAATGCCATTCCCTCCATCTTCTAAGCCCACTGCCCATCTGGTTCCTCACTCTTTTCCCTGTCAAGCTGCAACATTCTGAGTTTATCATTATTATTATGTTTTGAGACAGGGTCTCATGCAGACCACAATGGTTTTTGAATTCACTATGTAGCTGAGGATGACCTTGAACTGACTGAGCATAGCCACAGGAGGCTAAAGCCACCTTTCAAAGCAAGTCTAGCCCAAGAATGTCACAGAGATGGTGGGTAGAATCCTAGACCAGTAACGGGAATCTGGAGTACATCACGGGACCTCCTCAGTCATGGTTCACTGGCAGCAGTGACATGGGGCTCCACGCATAAGACAGGCTTACAGATGAAGCTGTGCTGTGCCGCCTCATCCCAGGGCTCCCTAGGCCAATTAGTGACATATGCCCCGCCCACGCGCACTCGCAACATTCATTCATATATCAAACCCCTTCACGCCTGCTCAGTGCCTGGCACAGACGCTGGGGCCTCAAAGTCAGGGCCGGGGACGGGGAGCGGGTGCGCAGCCAACAGATGTCACGATTCGAGGTGAGTTGTCCTCACACATCTTCGCTCTTATTTTTGAAACTAAAAACGACGTTCCTCCTTGAGCCGCCGAACGCTGAGAAAGGGGAAGTGTGGGAAACAGATCTGCTCTTTATTTCTAAAAACTTCTTTTGCAACGTTTCCTAAAATCTGAACCTTTCACTGCTCTCAAATGCAGCTCGGTGCAAGGAGCTAGGAGGAGCCAGAGGCCGGCAGCATCACGCCACGCCCCGGGCTCCGCCACCCAGATACTTCCCGGTCCCAATCTCGTCTCCTCCGTGCCTTGCTCTCGAGGGTCGCGGTCAACCCATGTCCCCACGCTTCTCCCTCCATCCTGGTCCCCAGGCGGCCGGCACCCCGGCAGCACACCGCATTCATTGTCCTCCTCCAGCCACACCACACCAAGCTCAGCAGAGTTCCGCCCTCTTTCCACTCTCCCATTGGCTCCAGTTGCCCAACCGCGCAGGGACCCGCCTAGCATAGTCCTGCACGCCCCGCCTTTGCCCGAGGCCCG